TCCCTCTTTACCAGGTCTTACTCATCAACTTACAAGTTCTGGTGTCTCCTATTTTAAGAATGTATTCTTGATCCTATGTCTCTCTCGAGTTATGCTCTAATGTTTTTGTTCTCTTTGTCAGCCAAGTTTCTGGTAAGAACTTTCTGTATTTGCTGTATTTTCTTCTTTCCTAATTTTCTGTTGAACCACTCCAACCTGGCTTTTGTCCCTGTCATTCCATGGAAACAACTTTTGTCAAGGCCACTAAAGCCCTCTTAATGTCATAGCCAGAAGGACATTCTCAGTCTTACTCAGCCCCTCGGAAATTCTTTTGCCCTCCTTGACAGCACTCCTTGGTTTTTCCCCCAACCCAGTGGCCACTTCTCTGTCTTCTTTCCTGGAGCTCCCTCTGCTGACCAACCTCTGAATGGTGGCTTGCCCAGGGCGTGGGCTGGACCATTTACTGTCTGTCCACACTCTCTCTTGATGATTACATTTTGTAATGATGGACATGCTAATTATTCTGATCTGATCAGCACATATTATACACAGGTATTGATATTCAACTCTACCCCGCAACTATGTACAATCAACTATGTCTCAATAAAAAATTAAAAAATAACTATTTAAAAATTGACTCCCAAATTTTTACCTTTAACTTTGACCTCACCTAGACTTTCAGCATTTCCGCTTGCATGTCATAGGCATGGCCATCACACAGTTGGTATACCTCAAATACAATTCTTGATTTTGTTCTTTATTCTTTAGTTCCAATTTTCAGTAATGTGGGATCTTCCATCCACCTCCTATCTCAAAATTATCGGCACGACTCTATCTTCAAATTACATCTGAGATCTGACCACCTCTCACCTCTTACCTCTTCCCAGACTACACCCTAGTCCAAAGCACCATCATCTATCCCTGCCTTTTAAGTAGCCTTCTAATGGGTCTTCCTGCTTTGTCTCTTGCCCTGAAATAGCCTGTTTTCCACCCTGCAGCCAGAGTCGTTCTTTAAAAGTATCAGTCAGATCTGGCCCCTGCCTACTCCCTCCTATCTCATTTCCAATATTCTCTCTGTTCCTCCGTGCCCCTCGCCCAGTCTTCTTTGCCATTCTTTGAACACAACATGCACACACCTGCACACACCAGCAAGGTTTTTGCCCTTGCTGTTCCCTTTGCTGGGAATGCTCTTCCCATAGATATTGACCTAAATTAAACAAGATCATTCATTATTTTGGTATGGTGTCTGTTCAAACTTAACCTTATCAAAAAAGCTTTCCTTGATAACACTGTATAAAATAGCCATGCCTGACATTTTCTATCTTCTTGCCAGTTTTAAACAGAATACAGCATTACTGATATATCTATTTGTTTTCTGTATGTCTCTCTTAGTGGCAGGTTGGCTCCATGAAGGCAGAGACATTATTGCTCTATCCTTAGTGCCTGGAACAGCACCCATTAGGTGCTTGATAAATATTTGTTGAATTTTTGGAATAGTGACAGGGATTAAATCCTACAAAGTTGAAGGACAGTCATCCCTCAGTATCCATGGAGGATTGTTTCCAGGACCCCCAAGGATACCAAAATCCCCTGAGGATACAAAAATCTTCGGATACTCAAGACCCTAATATAAAATGGCATAGTACTCGTATTTACATATAACCTATGCACATCCTTTTGTATACTTTAAATCATCTCTAGATTACTTATAATACCTAATACAATGTAAATACTATGGAAATAGTTTTTATACTGTAGTGTTTTGAAATGTGTATTACTTTTTATTGTTGCATTGTCATTTTTCATTTTTTGAATATTTTTGATACGCATTGTATTGAATCCATGGATGTGGAACCCATGGATACAGAAGGCAGACTTTATAAGAATAAAAAAAGATAAAGGTAGTACTTTTTTTTTTTCCTTTTTGTCTTTTTTCGTGTCCGGCAACAGATCGCAACCCTCAGTGTTGCGCCCGTACCGGACCGGGACCGGCAACGGGATCGCAACCCTTGGTGTTGCTCCCACACCTCGCTCAGCCAGTGAGCAGGAACCGGTCTGTATGTGGGATCTGAACCCTCGGCGGGAGCGCTGCTGCACTCCCAAGCGGCGCACTGTAGCAGTGCGCCACCGGGCCGGCCCTCGGAAATTAAATTTGAAGAAATAGAACAAAATTGGGAATCTTATCTTCCTTAAGCCCATTTCACTTAAAATATTGAAAATGACAAATTGTAAATGTTAACTCTCATGACGATCATAGTGATCATTTTTCCAAGTGTTACCTTTCTGACTGTCCTTGATAAACTTTCTAGTTCCCAGTCTCTCCTTTAGAGCTGAACTGAGAACGTTGATGCAATTGTTTCCACTTTCTTGGGACCCTCCTCCACAGGGAGAACAGGATGCAAGAGTGGGTTTACGTATCTCTCACTTCACATTGTTGTGAGTTCTACTGGCTGGTGTGGAAGAAGAATGAAAGAAAACTGGGCCAAAATAGTGGCACAGGGGCACGGAATACTCTCTTCTTTAATGTTATGAGGTGTAAAGGATGGGAATGACCTCCAGAAAACAGGAAGGGGATATTTTCTACTTTTGTAAATGTAAGTGACTGTAAAACAATTCCTATTACTTGAGCTTTGACTCCTAGAGAGCATGATGAGTGATACTTATCTGACATAACTGTGATTTTGAAAGTTTAAAATATAGTGTATATGGTTAGTGCATAATCCCGCAAAGCTCACATTGTCTGACTTCAGCTATAAGTTATTTTGTAGTGTTCGGATCATTTCAAAAGATTCATGTGTTTGACATGCCCTCATTGTATGTCTTCGTTTCTTTTTCCTAGAGGCAGAAGAAGATGAGGATGAAGAGAATGAAGAGGATGAGGAGGAAGAGGAGGAAGACGAGGAAGACGACGAAGAAGATAAAGACACAGACTCCCTGGATGAGAGCTTGGACCTGAACACTGAGCTGCCGGGATTTACTCTCCCTGGTGTCACATCCCAGGAACCTGGCCTAGATCAGGAAAACATGGACCTGTTGGAGGGAGCCACCTTCCAGGTGCCAGACGCCATCGAGTGGGAACAGCAGAATCAAGGCTTGGGTAAGAGTCGTTCGTATTCTCCATTTCCTTCTCTCTCCCCTCCTTTTTACTGTTCTAAGGCAACAGGTTTCTTTCACTGGCATCTCTATCGTGGAGGAAAATGGATTTTCTTTGTTTATTGGTGGTTCATTTCGAAAAAAGTTATTGGTTATTTCTTCAATAAGTTTATATTTATGCTCTTAAATAGTGTTGACCTAAAGGAAAAAACTGAGGCAAAATATATAAAACAAAGTTCATTTGGGCCGAGGTTAAGGACTGCAGCCCGGGAGTCACAGATGCAAGTTGCCCTGAATATGTGCTCTGCTCGGCAGCAGTTACAAACAGATTTTTTGAAGGGAGAAAAGGAGAAATTAAGGATCCAAAGTTGTTTGCTAAGAATTTATGTTGCTTTCACTAAAATAACATAAGCTACCAATTGGCTATACCTTGCTCTTTGCTTCATAAATTCCGGGAGCATTGCAACAAAGAGAATTTGAAGGTCACATTGTACAACTTGTGGGTAACATTTGGGTAACTTATACCCATTGGTGGTGGCAATGACTCTGAAAACTGTTACTAAAACGTGCCTTTTAGCACTTATTTCAGACTTGGGTGAAGGAGAAGTGACGGAGGGCCCAGGCTTCTATGCTCTGAGCCTGATGAGTTTAGCAGACCTCACGTTCCTAAGATCGCTCTGAGCCACTTTTCTTTCTCAGTCGCCGGCTCTAAACGGTCTCCCACTGCCCAACATGAGCATGGATGGTTCCCTGATTTTTGGAAGGAATTTCGTTTTTCCTTCCCAGCTGGAACTTCCAAATGCGGAGGAGATATGTGTAAGCAGTATGCTCGAACAAGCAACATGCGTGGACTGGAGTCAGAAAACAGATGTATTTTGTCACCCTCTGTCCTTTTAGAGTTTGTTCCCTAGGGAAAGTACTTCCCCTTCTTCTAGGTGAGCACTCGGGCAGTCCCATGACTTTTCTGTTCATTCTTATGGCTGTATTACATTGTCAGACATGATCTCTTTTCAGCAGTCAGCGTGTCCAGACAACCCCATGCTTATTCCCACTTGTGCATGGCCTGCATTTGCAGTGAGAGACCCGAGGGTGCAGGCTCACCCCCAAATAGGCACTCCTTTCCCTGTCAGCAGGGAAGCTCTGTTATCTGTCCTTCTCCTCTTGTCAGGGTGAGACACTGTTAAGCTCTGACTGATTCCTGAAGGCCCCACTCTCTTGACCTGAGGTAAAGTGACCTCTCCTCCAAAGAAATCCCCACTCTAAAATTCTGTTAGTCTTTAACAGCTGGGCCCCTTTATACCTTCAGTGTGGCAGACGTTAGGTTTAAGAGTCATATAACCAGTTTTGTGGTATTTCATTGAAAATTTGGATGTTGGTCTGGTACTTCACTCTGGATATAATTCTGAGGTATCATTCTAGAGGTTGGCATATGGGCTGCAGTTGAAATATAGCTGGGATTTCCTATGGAATATGCATATAGTTAGGAGAGAAGATAGTAAGGGATGGACTTCCAGTGCACAGGCAGAGGCATTATTAATGTCCATATAATACTTAATCGAATTATTTTCTGACCAAATTCAGCATGCGTTGGGCAATGATTACTTTAAAAACATGTCAAGTGAAACTTGTAAAGGTTATTAAAAAAACACAAAATAATATGAACTCTGGTCTGTGAACAAGCGAATAAATATTTAGTCTGAAATACTCCTGTTCTACATGGGCAGGTTTGAAATAAAATACAAAATAGATAACATTACAAAGCAGATTAAAAACAGAAACACAAATCTAGACATAAAGTGACCTTTCAGGAGGTGTCATTATAATATGGAAGTATCAAATACTGTTAAACAGTCTTTTTAATATGCATAGGATGAAATTCAAAGACTCTAGAAGTTTACTAGAGAGAGGAGGGTGGGAGATGGTTACTTTTCATACAGAAGTAGGGAGGTTATATGGCATCTACCCTTGAACTGTGGTCCAGGAAACCAACTTTTATCACATTTGAAGTTGGCCTGCCATCTATGAAAAATTATAAATAATTGGAGGGACTCAGGGTCTTAGAAAAACATGGAGAGGCTACGTATGGTTCAAGACTTAAATGATCATTTGGGTTGTGGCCTTATGCTCCTCGACAGAAATTCAAAACTCCTCCTGAATAGGAGTCAAATTTTTAAGGAATCAACTTTATTGAGGTAGACATTATATACACTTAAAGTGTACAATTTGATGAGTCTGGACATTTGTGTACACCCATGAAACCTCCATTACAATCACGATGCAGAACATCTCCATGATTGCACCCCTAGTGATTCCTCATGCCCGTTGGCACCCCATCCTGTCCTCAGTCCCTAGACCCAGGTAACCACTGATCTACTTTTGTCTCTATAGATTAGTTTGCATTTTCTAGAATTTTATATAAATGAAATCCTATGGTACCTACCTTTTTGTGTCTGGCTTCTTTCACTTAGCATAATGATTTTACAATTCAACTATGTGGTTGTATGTATCCCTAATTTGTTCTTTGTTATAGCTGGGTAGTATTCAGTTGTATCGATATACTACATTTTGTTTATCTAGTCAGCTGTTGATGAACATCTGTGTTGTTCCTAATTTTTGGCTAACAGCAGTTAAACTTTAAGACTTGTCAGTCTTGAGGCTCAGGACAAATACCTTGGTTGCTTTCCTGCCCTGCCTCCTGATTTCAGCCTCCATGCACGGCACAGCTAAAGTTTCTTAAATTAATGATACCAACTTAGTAATTTGTTATGCTTTTTTTTTTCCCGTGTCCGGCAACGGATCGCAACCCTTAGTGTCGCCCCCGCACCGGACCGGGACCGGCAACGGGATCGCAACCCTCGGCGCTGCTCCCGTGCCTCACTCAGCCAGTGAGCGGGAACCGGTCTGTATGTGGGATCCGAACCCTCGGCGGGAGCGCCTCCGCGCTTCTGAAGCGGCGCACTACCGCAGTGCGCCACCGGGCCAGCCCAATAATTTGTTATGCTTTTAAAAGTGATTTCCCCAGGTCCTTAGTTTTTTTTATATCAGCTTTTTAAAAATTATAATAATTTACTGTTTCCCTAGGTGTTTCTCACTTTTTTCCCTGTTGCCTCTTTTCCAGATAAATTCATTTTGTCAACATGTTCTTAGCATTGTCAGTTTCCTGGAAACCAAAGCAAAAACCAAATCTTTGAAGCTGTTCTTTTTCCTACTGTGGGAAGATTGTATTTCAGTAGTGTCTGCGTCTAGAATTTTATTAGCTCACCAACCTATTATTGGAGGGATAGGAATATTTCCTAGTAACTCCAAACCAGTAATAACTTCTTGTTCAGTATTAATTGATACAGTTTCCTGAGTACTCCCAGGTCAGTTGAAGCAGTAGAAAACCTCTCCTATTTGAGATGGATTTTGTGGTAGATAGAATAATGGCTTCCCAAAGATGTCCAAGCCCTAATCTCTGAAACTTAGAAATGTGTCACCTGACGTGATAAAAGGAATTTTGCTGATGTGATTCAATTAAGGATCTTGAGATGGGGATGGGAGATTATCCTGGATTATCTGGGTAAGCCCAGTGTAATCAGAAAGAATTTTATAAGAGGATGGTAGGAGGGTCAGAGTCATAGAAGGAAATGTGATGACAGAAGCAGAGGTTGGATATGGCCAACCTCTTGAGGGTCTTGATATGGCCATGAGCCAGGGAATGCTGGCAGAAACTAGAAAAGGCAAGGAAACGTATCTTTCCCTAGGGCCCCTAGAAGGTGCACAGCCCTGCCAACATCTTGATTATAGCCAAGTGAGACCCATTTCAGATTTTTGACCTCCAGAAGTGTAAGACAATAAATTTGTGATATTTTAAGTGACTAAGTTTGTGGTCATTTATTACAGGAGTGATAGGAAACTAATATAGATTTCAATAAGTATTTAGTGAGCAGCATCACTTTGAGAGTAAAGTGCATTGAAAATTAAGTGTAGTTTTTTCATAGTGAATCAATAAAAATGCAAACACTGAGACCCTTTAAGAAGTTAGCACATTTAGTATAACACTTTAATTGACCATCTGCTTTATTCCTATTTTTAAAAGTGTTATTTTATTTATAGATGATAACATCCATTTTTACAATGTGAATGGTATCTCAAAGAAAATGCTAAAATCCGTATAAATTTTTAAAAATGAACAGATTGAGGTGGGTAGTTGGGATTGGCTAAAAATAATGCAAACTCTTTGAATAGATTATAGTCTCATTTCCTGTAAAGTAAAAAGAGCAGAAAACATAAATGACTTTCTAAGACAAACCAGTGGACTCATGCCCTCAAATTCTCTGAACTTCTGTTTTCTGCACCATAACATACACATCACCTCTAAAGCTTTGGAGGGAGAGAGCTCACTTTATTAATCTTGCTGCAGGGAAGTGTGACTGTGGATTGAGCTGTGTGTCATCAGGATAGAGAGAATCAGAGTGAAAATTCCATGTTATGATTGAGGTGGGTTCTGGTGTTCCAGAAGGGGAGCTTAATTCTTATAGCATAAAGGAAGTTCTTTATTCACATATGCAGAATCAGTTTCCTCTCTGATATAACAAATTCATTTTTGAATTTATTGGCAAGAACCTGTACAGGGAGCAGACATTATGACCCACACCACTTCTTATCCTGTTTGCCATAATAAATCACACAATTATCCTCTTTAAAGTATGAAATCAATATGATTAAAGTTGAGTCAACATATCCATTGTGGTGTTTAAACATTCTCAATGTAATTAATACCTGGTGATTCTTTCCTTTTTGTTTTCTATATCTGTTAGGATACCTTCAGCTATCAGTAGTAGAAACCCTAATTTAAATTGGTTTAAAGAGTAAAGAAATACATTTTCTCTTAGAACAAGAAGTCCAGAGATAAAGCTCCTGAGTCCACTGACTCAATAGTTCAGTTGTCATCAGTGACCCGAGCTTTTTCCATCTTCCTGCACTGCCATCCTTCATGAGTTGATTTTGCATTCATATTGGTTTTCATATAGTTGCGGTGGCTGCAGCAGTTTCAGGTGTCACACCCAGACAAGACATTGTCCAGAGAAAGAAGACTGTCTTTTCACTGTGTTAGTTTCTTAAGAGAGAGGAAGTCTTTCCAAGGATCCTCCACTAGAATTCATTTTGCCCATAATTGGCTGGGATTAAGTAACATGCCCATTTCTTTTTCCTCTTTTTCTTTTTGCTCTAATACTGACAACCTTCAATTTTCCCCTAATTTTGCTTAAATTAGATTGTTTATCTTATAGGGTCTTAAACTCTTGCTATAATAAAGTATCAAACAATAATAACATATATGCATAATATCTATAACTATTTTCTTCAAAAAATTTAGAGAAAATATTGAAGTAATTTTTAAAAACATATACAAGTATTTTCTAGTGTGTATCATTTTAAAAGACATTAACTGATTTCAAACAATTAGCTAATAAACCAGCAGGAAAAAAAGTGAGCATAGTCAATTGATAAAATTAAATTATCCAAGAGGAGTAGGTCATAACATTCTATTTATGAAAATTTAAGTCACTTTTTACAAAAATAAGATATGCACTTTCTAGTTTACCATCATTTTGAAAACAATTCCAAGGAGATAAAACATATAAATATCAAAAGAGTTATTTCTATAAATTTTTCTCAGTATTTATTGGTATTACTGCATAGGAATTCTCTCTCTTGTATATTTGTGGTGGTGATTATTTGGATTCCAGATGCAGGACTCCCTTCCAGATGCAGGGCTGGTCATGTGGTAGTGAACTCCTGCAGTTTTTGTTTGTCTGGAAAATATACTATTTCTCCCTCATTTCTGAAGGATAGCCTTGCTGGGTATAGTATTCTTGGCTGGCAGTTTT